TGTATGGCAGCCATCTACATAACAGTACGTTTAATTAAATTAACAATATTTTCTATTTTTAAAAGCAATATAATATATGCAATATATATTTTTCCTCACTAGATCGAAGTTGCTAAACTCAAGAAGTTATTCAAGGTGGTACTTCTAAACCAACTGTTTTATGCCCCTCTAATGATATGGGCGTACTACGTCAGCGCTACATGGCGTGGATGCAGCATCCGTGGTAGTGACTTGCCGAGCGGCGGAAGGATACTGTATGATTTACTCGGTTGTTTGATCTTTATTGAAGTCACATTCTACTACTCACACAGGTAAGAGCACTTTCTACCTAAACTGCCTGAGTCTGTTTCGTTGTCGAAAATGGCTAAAGGTTTAGTGGGCGGAACAGAAATCAAATAGCATATTTTATATATCTGTAGCTAAGCCCGACGGGGGCTGCAGGAGTAAACATTTTCATATTGGCACAATAAATCGATTATTCATTGATCGTGATAATAGTATGAAATAATAACTTTATTGAAATCGGAGTATTGATAAATAGATAAAAATAGAAAATAGTTTATATCACTGTATCGCCTGTGGTGAATGTTACGACACAGATAACCAGTTAGCAGATGGTTAACGACCGTGAAACTCTAACATTCAATATAGTTAGTCACATTATATAAATAGGAAACCAATACTTTCATCAAAAACTAACATAAGACTAATTCAACTCTTTTTTTTACAAGGATAATGCATCACCCTTTTCTATATAAACACATACACAAAATCCACCATGAATGGACGGCTCCTATTGGTCTAACGTGCATCTACGCTCATCCAATCGAATTCATGTTTTCGAATATATTACCACTGATTGGTGGACCGATCGTGATGGGATCTCATCTGATTGTACATTGGCTGTGGTTGGTACTTGCAATGTATTCCACTAGTATAGCTCATAGTGGGTATCGTTTCCCGGTGGTTAGGTCAACTGAAGCTCACGACTTGCACCACTCAAAGTGAGTAACATGTTTTTTTCCAGAACATATATATCAAGTTATAAGTAATGTATGTGTGTTGTAGCGTAATGTGATGTGACGTCATGCGCCACGCAACGCGAAGCAATGTGATAAGACGTGACGTCATGCGCCACGCAACGCGAACCAATGTGATGAGATGTAACGTCATGCGCCACGCAACGCGAACCAATGTGTCAAGACGTGACGTCATGCGCCACGCCACGCAACGCGAATATATGTGTCGAGACGTGACGTCATACGCCACGCAACGCGAATCCATGTGCGAGACGTTGCGTCGTGCGCCACGCAACGCGAATTAATGAGACATGATTTCATAAAACGCAATGCAAAGCGGTGTGATTAGACGTGAATAGTACAACACATGGGATACTGAGCGCATTCATACTCGTATGTTTTAAACATGCGCTGTTCACATACACAGTGACACTCGCGATATTAACTATTAACATGTATTTACCGTTAAATGCGAGACCCCGCGTTATGCGTGAAGTCAAACTTAAAAACAGGACAAGCAAAGGTTATAACGTCGTAGTAGCGTCAAAGCATCGCACGGGATTCGACACACGCTAAAGTGTATTTTGGGGGGGGGATCCTTTTGCGTTTGTGCTATACACATTTTATATTTTTGATGAAGTAAGGGTTTCAACGCCGTATTCCCATCTAAAAGATCGGCATTTCTACTCTTTATTGAATTATAACAAAAAGAAATTCAAGCTCGAAATCAAATCATTCGATTTTTGCGGCAGGTATTAAAATGCACAAACCGTAAAACACACTACTAATTAACGAGGATTGTTTCATGACTCGGTCACCTGATATTTAATGTTTTCTAAACACATATACAAGTGTAGATATCAATATAATATAATGTATACCTATTGAATTGAATTATGAAGATATGGAAAATGATTAAGAGTCTCGACCAATACTAACGGGTGTTGACAAGAATAATGTACTCGATAAACAGATAAACAAACTATAATAAAAAATACATAAAATCGTTTGAAATTAATGAAGAAAAACTAAACAAAAAAACATAATACAATATGCTGTGAACGTCTACAAGAGCGACGTGATGCGATGTGACGCGATGTGACGTGATGACGCGACGTTACGCGACGTGAGGCGACGCGGCGCGACGCGATGTGATATTAAGTAATCATCACACTGAAACTTCCTTATGTTTTTTTGCAGATTCAACGTCTACTATGGATCTTCAAGATTATTGGATTGGTTGCATGGAACTGACATTATGTTTCGAGACAACGTCGCCTTCAATCGACACAAGAGACTGATAGGAACAACCCCAATGTCTAAGGCATACCCCGATACTAAAAAAAGGCAGTAAATAAAAACGATCGAATGCAATATTATAAAAAAACTGGGCGATCACTTTACAAAAAGGTCATGTTATTATCA